CTTGTGTGTGAGAGTGTGTTTATCTGTCTAACTCTTCAGCATTATGCTCCTCAGTGCTGGAGAGACCATGAACTCCTTATGCAGTGCCCTGGGTACTAATGTTGTCATTGGCACACCACCAAGGTTTTTCCAGAAAAATGTTTTTGTATGTTGTTTAGCGCAATGACAGCCAACCCAGATCGTTGACCTCCTTTGTGCACCACTTCACACAGTCTGGATGTACTGCCATTAAAAAAAGTTTCCTCTCAGTGAAACCTGACATAGAAAGCCTGCAGCTCTTGTGCTATGATTCAGGTGTTGAGAATGAGTTCTCTTGGCAGGCCTGGTGCTAACAGAGCAGAACCCGTGTCCTGGTAGGTGTAAAGGCACTGGGCCGTGTTAAGTGGCTATTCATTAATCATCCAAAGGTGAGAAGCAGCCAGAACAGAGGAAGCTTTGCCTAGGGGTGGAGCTGGTCCTGATGCCTCTGGCTCAGAGATCTGTGCTTTGTTTCACATTCTGTCTGCTCTTCTTTGGCCACCATCTACCCTGATCCTGTCCCTCTAGTACGTTCTTAGCATTTCACCATGATTCAACCTCCCTCAGCTCCTCATCCATTGAACATTTTTGGTCACCCTCAGCTACTTTTGGCAAAGCTGTTTCAGTCTTGAGTTCTCTTCACCTCTCCCTGCAATGACATGTACCCCCTCCACTTCACCCACCAACAAGATGAATGCTGATTTAACTTGGCTCCTTCTCCTTTGCATGTCAGAGGTGCCCCCATCCATCCAAATGACTAATCAATGAGCAAAAATCAATTGGCACTCCTTTAACAAGTGCATTTAAAACTAGGAGACAAAACAAAGGGGGGGGGGGGGTTGTTTTATTTTATTTGTTATACTACAATGTGCTGAGAACATAGCTCAAATTTTCATTTGATACTTTTATTGAAATTAGGGAGATTATGGGGAGGGAAGATAAAGGAGACTGAGGCTAATCTGCCAGTTCGTCAAAGGATATTGGAAACGGAATCAAATTTTTATAACGATCCCATTGTCTTGAATAATCTATTTTGCAATATCCCTCAAGCTGAAGGAGTCTGTTACTTTTTTATGTCATATCATCACTAATCCAGGATAAAAAAGGCATATTCAGGCACAAATCAGTGAAACAAAATAGCTATTCTTACTGATGCAGCTGGCATAAGATGCGTCCAAAAAACACACCTTTCCCTCTCGGATGCTGTGTGAGAGTTGTGTAATACACTTAAGACCTGTAATCACTGTGCGCTTTTAGAGATCATGGCAGAAAGTGAATGTTATCTCCCCATTCCCCACCAGGCTCCATCAAAGAAGAAACTCGAGGCTGAACAATGAACCTAGGGCCAGGTTGAGACTGATTGCTATTAAGTGATTCTCTGAGAATCAATACTGCATCTTAAAATGATATGACGGTGAGGTGTGGGTGTTGACTAGCAAACCTTTCTGACAAACGGCTATACTTGAAAGATGATAAAAGATCCATGTTAAGAAGCCACTTTCACTTCACCATCTCGTGCGTATCCAGCTGATCAGACAGCTACTGAATAGCTACATTATGATTTCTGACCCATAAACAGGAGTAAAGATGGGCAGTGTAACAACAGAGATGGGACAATATATTGAAATTCAATATATCGCCATACAAATACATCATAGTATGTATCGTTTTGTCTAGTGATATATATCATGTGGTCTCCATACACCAGTAACTTCATGTTTTTTGTAAATAAGCCTAACAGAGCTCAATTCAATACATCTGGTTGTTCTTTACATAATCAGACTAGTGCTAGAAAAGAGGAAAGTAGAGGAATAAAGTACAAGTATTCTGCAGCTACTCATACATTGCTGACATTGAATTTTTAATTGTATCGTGATTGAATCACATCACAACACTGTATCGTGCATCGGCTCGTGTCGAGAAAAAGTCACATCGTCCCATCCCTACTGTCTTACTTTGTAGCCAGTCCCATAGGAGGAGAAATTCAAATGTTGCTGGTGGTTTGTTTAACCTCATTTCGTGGGTCAGTGTTATTCTTGCGAATGTATTATTTGACCAGAGTAGCGTTACTAACCTTGCTTTACTCGCTGGCCTGGAATTTAACTATAGACATTGCAGTTGTGTGGTCTGTATCTTAACTATTCAGCCACTGGACACCCTGCTCTCTATGCACAGTGAGAGATAAAGATTGGTTTGTGACCACTGCATCACTTCTT